GTGACATTTGTAGACATGCAGTCCAGTTCCACATATGTGAAGATAACACCCTTTGTCCCTACCCTTGATTGAACATTGCTGTTCTGACATTACCCGTCAAAGTCATCATGTTCTGAATGGGTTGTAACTTTCTCCAGCTAAATTTCAGGAAGACTGCGGCTTGGCCTCCATTAACGTTTTCTGACCCCAGGAAACTATCGCATTGATCTGCATGGATCATCTCTATCTCATGAAACCAGTTCGGAACTTGCTGTCCTGTATCGTCTCTTAAATCTTAGATCAAGGGTTTTCACTTATTCAATTTTCCCTCTTTTGTGCAGCATTCCCTGCCTCCACCACTATATCTACCCTCGGGCCACCAAGACCTTCATCTATGCTTTTATCACATCCAAGCATGATAACGCCAACATGCTGCTAGCCATACTCCTCAGTTCCTCTAAGGCGCAGCTCGTCCTCTCCAGCAAGACTCTCCAAACTCCGCAAGATCATCCCCTATGGTCTCCCCATCCCCAGTCGATTAAGAACAATTTTACATTTACATTGTGCTGTTACTTAGTGTTGAAGGATGTCACAAAGCTCTTCAAAGCAGATGAAGTTATGGAATTCAAGATCCTCATCCTTGTGTTCGAATCCCGCTTGCTCTCCCCCCTCCCCACCCAATCGCTGCAACCTTCTGCAACCTCACGAGGTGAACTTTCAGTTATTCTGACCCTGGTCACCAGAACTCCTTCTCAGCCTCACCCATTTCTAAAATGAGCCCAGTATGCTGGTTTCAACCATCCTTCCTGTTAATCTGTTCCAGTCAGAAACAAAGCTATGGATAAAGAAATACTTATTGATGTCTGTCCTGAAATTGCCCTTTGTAAACCAAAATGATGAAAGCAAATAACATTGGGTCAAAGTTCCATTGTGAAGGAAATAGGACTGTGTGAAGTATAAAAGAAAATAACAGCAAACAAATTAGCCCATGAAATTAATGCTGTTTATACAGGTTTATACACAGCTTCTCATTAATACTGTTAAATCTCCCAGTTTAACTTATAGTGTACAGCATACTCCAAGCACTAGCGTACAACTGTACACCTGCAAACTCATGAATACAGTCACTTGCATGTTCCAGCCACATTTTTATTTATTGCTGCTATTGTTTGCAGAAAGCCCATACAGGCCTGCAATTGGAAAAACATCTTAAGGGGTTGTAAACTGTGCAAGCCTCTCAGTCCACAAACTGCAGAAAAATAGAATATGGCTTCCACTTCCTTTGCTGCTGGGTAATTCTACCTCCAGAGGTTTCGGGTGCAAACAGCACTTCAAGCAGTATTAGTGGCACCTAGATTACTCATTTCCACACTGGAATATAATCAGCACTGCACTAACTATCTATTTATATCACTGGCAACAATTTTAACACAAAAATAGTAGTAACATTTCTCCTGAGGATTCAGCAAATTTATCCAGTGAAGGAGTGAGTAGCCTTGGAAAAGTCTCCATAACTCCATGCAAGAGTAGGGAAGTTTGCTGCAGTTGTATAAGGCCTTGGTGAGACCACACCTAAAATATTGTGTGCAGTTTTGGTATCCTTATTCAAGAAAGGACATATTCGCCTTACAGTGGGTGCAGCGTAGATTCACTAGGTTGGTTCCTGGGATGAGAGGGTTGACCTACAAGGATAGGTTGAGTAAACTAAGCCTATATTCTCTAGAATATAGAAGAATTAGAGGTGATCTTGCAGAAACTTGTAAGATTCTTAAGGGTCTTGACAGAGTAGATGCCGTGAGACTGTTTCCCCTGGTTGGAGAATCTAAAACTAGGGGACATAGCCTCAAGATTAAGGGTCAGCCTTTTCAAACTGAGTTGAGGAAACATTTCTTTACTCAGAGGGTAGTGAATTTGTGGAATTCTCTACCCCAGAAGGCTGTGGATACTCAGTCCTTGAATATATTCAAGACTGAGATTGATAGATTTCTAAAGAATAGAGGGTTTAAGGGATATGGGGATAGGGCGGGTAAATGGAATTGGCTTAGAAGATCAGCCATGATCTTATTAAATGACGAGGCAGGCTCCTACGTCTTATGCCCTAGCCTAGGAAGGTTCAATTCCTAGTGAGTGCTAAATTAGCAAATCTCACAAAGGATAGAGAAATTAAGTATGATTAATTGGTTTCATTAGTACAAAAGGGACGCAACTACACAAGAGCGATCCCAAAGCTTTCTTCTGCTGGCTGAAATCTGTCATCGCCGGAAGGGTCCATCTGGGCTCTTGCCAGTGTTGGACAATTCTGGTGATCTACAACAGACCCATAATGATATCTTTGGGGTTTGGAGGAAGCATTTTGCAATCTTGGCATCTGATCCAACAGGTATGGAGGATGGAAGAACTGGCGGAAGGTGTGGAGCAGATTGAAAATCTTAAATGACCCAATATTGGGATTGGACTCCACAATTCGATGCGCTATGAATGATGAGGCAGCAGTTCCTAAACACAGATGGTGGGGTGGGAGGGGGGAGGAGAAATAGATAATAGTGAGGATCTTATGTATCCAAGCCAGGAACCTCAAATTCACCTTGGAGCTGCCTTCCTTGTGCTTGTTAACCGGACACCATCTGTGGCATACACTCAGTCAGTGTTTCTGATTGCAATTATGGTATCCATCCACAAGAAAGATGATCCTCATGAGACCGAGAACTATAGAGGAATCTCTCTGATTTCAGTGGATTTTTAACATGATGCTACAGGAAGTCACTGCACGTGTCGTGCACATTTGAGGCTTGTGGCTTGATCAGGAAGAACAGGCTGGCTTCCATTCTCATGAGGGAAGTATAGGAAGGGTGGTCGCTTTGTATGAGATCGTAAATCATCATAAAGCTAAGGGGAAACCCACCTATGCTGCATTCATTGACTGTGGAAGCACTCATGATGAAACTGAAAGCAATGAGAATACATGGTTAAATCTTAAGTTTTTATCAGAAATGTGTGTTCCAGCTCCAAGATCTGTGTAAGGGTTGTCAATGGACTCACTGAGCCTGTCCTTCTTGAGAGTTTCATTGTCACCATCCCTATTCAATGTATTCATCAATGACATGTTGGGATGGACTTGTGTATCTGTATCAGTTCCAGGCGATTCTGACAGAATTGTAACATTTCTATTTGTCAACAATATTGTGCTTGTGGGGACCTTCTGTGCTGCAATCACCATCTTGAACATTGGACCACTCAGTGGGACATGATGGTGGTGCTCCCAAAGGTGGAATTATGGTTCTGGCACAGCTCAAGAGAAGACATGGAGATTATTGATTGGAAGATATAAGAGACATGAATCCTAATCATTAATTATCGGTACCTGGGGGTTGTAGTGAACACCAACTGTTACTTGGACACATTCCCGAAGGACCTCGCAGAGAAGGAGCAAAGGGCATTCTGTCTCATGTCTCTCTTTCAGGACAGCAAGGTTCCAATGCAGCCCAAGCTTGTAGCATACAGGTCCTGTGTGCAAAGAGTTCTTTATAGTTCTAAACTCCTGGGGATACAGTAGAGAAACTTCCTCTAGCCCATTTGTAAAGTTCAGGATCAAGCAATGAGGTGGATTTGTGGTAAACCCGGGAAGGGGATGCAGGGAGGAAGGGTTACAGGTTACGCTGATTTGTTGCTGAGCACCCTGCAGGCAGGGTCGGCTTCACAGCGGGCACGACTAATTGCCAATGCCCCTCAACTGAGGACCTGAATTAAGCAGCTGGTGCTAAGTAAGCCTGGTATGTGGCATTGGGACTTGGACCTCGAGATCATCAAGGTGGCAGCATGTCACAAGTTGTCCTGTAAAGATCCTCCCATCACCCTGAAGGCTGATGAGACTTGGGCTTGGGGCAACACCTGCTGGAAAGTGTTATCTGCAATCCGAGTCTGTGAACATGTGTTTGTACACCATGGGACCCACCCTGATTGGTTTGCAGAGACGTAAGCAGCTGCTGCTCATGCTCCGTACATCCATCTAGTGGAGCTATCGCTCAATGGGAAAGGATGTGTGTCCAAGCTTTAAGCGTTCTGAGATGAGTGTTTAAGCATTCTGAGATGCTATCGATGTGAAGGGCTCCATATAAATGTTGTATTGTTGAGCTTTTGGGCAGGAAGATGGTGGCAATGCCCTCACTCAACTCATGCTGAGTGGTGTTGTCCACCAGGAAGCTCACAGGGGCACCTGGTGGTTATCTGCCATCCACCCAGTGAGGGCTCAAAGCTGCGCTTGTCGGATGTTAAATGACCAACTGGTGACTATCCTGTGTGGGATGGGCAGGAAATAAGCAGGGTCTCTTTGGAGCTGAAGGTGGCATGTTTGGTTCAATTCAGACATTCTATTGCAAACCCTCTGTGCTGGTCTCAGTAGATGAGTCCCTGAGCCAGGCGAGTCCACAGTACTCCAGGGCACTGCTGAAGACAGCCAACCTGATTCATGGCAGGATATGAAGGGGCAGAAATGTCTCTGCAGTCAGGCATTCTTCCCATTTAACTCCTGTAATCCACAAGCCCTAACAGATAGGGCAGTCGAAGGTGGACCACAGGAAAGCTTACCAGACAGTACTCTCAATGGCAGGCTATGCGGTTTTAGCTGTTAAGAATCCAGCAGTACCCCAACACACATTCTGGGGTGCCCAAGCCTTGGAAACCTGCATCTAATACAGAATCAAATTATTTAAGCAGGATGCATTCCTCCAGGGAGAGAGTGCGCAGTTCAATAAATGAGAAGTTTCCATAGGGATGCATAGAACTCAGTCTGATTTGGATACTCTTAAGCATGGTGATGGGTTTCCACATGTGTCAGACACTCGGCTGACACAAAACATAATGTACTATTAAGCGTACATAGTGATTTTTCACTAAAACTGGTTATCAACATGAAGGTGCATTTCTTATAAACATTCAAAAAAGAAAATCAATCTCGTAATAAATTGAAATTTATGCAGATTGTTTCAATAATCATAATGAAAATATTCAATTACGATACATACCACCAAGAATTCTTTCTTATCCACCATCCGATTGCCATCAGTATCAAACATGTTGAAAGCTATTTTAAAACCTGCATGAGGTTCTGTAACATTACACAAAATGTAGAATTAGTCATAAAGGAGTAAGAACTTTACCAAATGTCAACTGTTGTCTGCGTTTCATGTGTTAATTATCTTTGATCCACCTTTTCATTATTTAACTCCATGGGAGGTTTAATTTCTACAAAATACAAGATGAATGTGTGTATCATTCTATTTCATAAAACCTGGCATAACTAATTACAAGTAAACATATTTAACCCTAACTGACAGTGATATGATATATAGCAATGTAAAAGCCAAACCTTTTGTGTGCTTAGATTTTCTTAATTTCAAATCTACTGGATGCTTCAAAAGATTCTGGAGTTTTACATGAGCAATTGTATGTAAATCTTTGTGAACTGACAAGGAAAAAGCAATTTCAAATACTGCACTCATGATTCACAATTAATGAATAGTTGTATTTATGCAAATTAATTCAATTGCTTATGATGCTTGTGCAATTTCATCTTTAGTAGCAGATGGTTGACAACCATGCAGTTCAACTTCTAATGCTGTAGTAAACCACAATGAATTGTTAAAATGGGACTAAATTTTTAATGATATGAATACATTTTCCTTAGAATTGATGGAATGAGAATAACATTTCATGATAGATTGTAAAGCAGCCAAAATATATAGTATGAGTCCAGTCAAAGATGTACAACCAGATTCTAAACTGTTAGTAGTGTTAAAACATCTTAGGGAAATTATTATTTCTTGTAATTATTTTAAAAACATCATACTTTAAAATGCTTTAAAATAGACACCAATAACAAAATTGTAGCATCTCTAAAATGAATCTGCTCATTTTTAACATCAAAACAATGTAACTTGTTCAAAATGAATAAAAGCGACCAGCTTCAGTGACTCACTCGTTAATATGCACAAGAGAAACAAGTATTCTGTGTAGGCAATTATACCTGGAAAACAAGAAAAAATAAGCATAAATCGTAGAACATATAATACAATACAAAATTACATTTGTATAGCGCCTTTCACGTCGGGAGGACGTCCCAAGACGCTGATCAATCCTTAGAGCACTGAATATGCTGAGACATATAAAAGATTATCAGATTGTATAATTGAACTCCTCATCTTAGTCTAAAGTTTTGTTTTTGATGATTGAGCTATTTGTTTGTACAATAAATGAAAATATTCAAACCAATGTTTTATCCTTTGGGACAGCATTTTCTGTTTATACTAAACCAAAAAAAGGTAAAGTCCATTTGTTAAGGTTAAGTAGTCTTCTGCCTTACAGCTTGTTGCTTTTGTTCTCAACCTCGTACAAAAATAAAGAACAAACAACATAATTGACCTATTAAGTGGCTACAAATCCAAATAAATTAAAGTATGCCTAGGACTTTCATCCAGAGATAAGATTTTCCTTGTGTTTTGGTAAGTGGATATAAAACATCCTTAGGTAATCACTCAATTAATGCACCTAATTTATTTTTTATTTTTCTGTTCTTTGTTTGATGTCAAGCTCTTTGTTGTCAAACAAAGGGAAGAGAAGAGCTCCTGTCAGGTAACATGTTACTGGACATGAAGAGAGCTATCTATCAGCCCCTGAAAGCATTCTCCCCTTTGTTTGTAGCGGTAGATAGTGACTGCGCTCAGATAGTTCCAGTTGACTGCACAGAGTGTTATGGGAGAAAGATTCTGGAATGGGCACTGCAGAAAAAGAAGGCCATACGGGGAGATCACAAAGATGACACAAGGATCACAGTGGGGGGAATCTCAAGAATTGAATATAAAATATATACATAATTTAATTTTGCTAATTTAACCAACAGTGTGCAGATAAAATCATTGCTAACTCTATTTTTAAAACAATAATTAACCTTTGATAAAAATGATTCTGATTACTCCCTAGTTGCTTGATCAGGCTAAATCAAATGGCACCCAACCTCAGCTTTTGTTTGACCCAGAGTTCATTTTCTAGTTCAAGATTTGATCCATCAACAAAACTGTCTTCTTCCACCTACAGAACATTGCTCTCCTAGGCCCCACCTCACCACCACTGATGAAACTTCTATTCATTCTTTATTTCACAGCATGATACAGCACAGAAACAGACCATTTAGACAAACTAGTCCTCGTCAGAAGCCAAACCTCCAGTTATAGACAAGATAGATGCCTGCTGCACATTGGGAAGGAAGAACCTGAAGTTTGGTGTATCAAATTAATTAGCCATCCTGTCAAATTTGGCTTCCAGGTTACATTTTTCCAATGTTCTCTTCACTGGTGTCTATAATTAATTTCAACATCTTTGTCCTAGTTTTCAAAATACTCTTTATGGCTTTGCTCCACCGAGAAGTGAAATCTTCCCATGTGCCATGTCTCAGTTCATTCCCTCTCCTGTTTTGATTTCCTGCCAGCAGTCTTGGCATATAATAATAATGAAAAAATTCTTGCATTCGATATAGTTTCACATCAGAACGTCTCAAAGTACTTTGCACTTCATTGTATAGTGACTGTATTTTGAATTACAATGTTTGAAATGATACAGGATATTGCCGACGGTGACAGTAATATTATGAAATTAGTAGTACATGCACAGGCAGCCAGCACAAAATTCTGCCCCCCGTCCTCATCCGCATTACATTCCCATCACCCCAGTTCTCACTGGCTTCATTAGTTCACTATCTCCCAATGGACAGAATTCAATGTTTTCACCATCACCACAAATCCCTTCATACCCGAGTATCTCTCGATCTTCTTGATCTTCTCCTAACCCCAGTTAAGTTAGCATAATCAATTTTAAGAATAAAAAGGGATTACAAAAAAAGAGAAATCGCAAATACTCCCAGAGTTAACTTGTCCTTAATGTGTGAATTACAAACCAAAATATTTACAAAAGAACAAACAAATAATCAAAGAACAGCCTTAATGGACATTGCTGCAGCCACCTTTAAGTAGTAGAAAAAACTGAATTCTTCCAATTGACAACAGTGAGATGACCAACAACAAACTAGGGAAGCGAAAGAATGTAAAGCAGTTGAAGATGGTGGCATTTGGGATAAGTCAGACAGTGACACTCCAATACATTGCATTGTTGGAGGTGTTATCATCTGGAGGAAATATTAAACTGAGGTTAAAGATGTTAAGCCTGGCTATTCAGGTGGCCATTAATGATCACATGGCATTATTCAAAAAGGGAGTTTCTCCCAGTGTCTCGGCTAACAATTCCCCAGATAAAACTCGTCATTCACTTATTGGCTGTTTGTGGATTATGAATGATCACTGGGGAGGTTCCAAGGGCTTGGAAGCAGGCAAAAATATTCTCATTATCAAGAGAGGTAACAGAACCATACCTGGCAACTATAGACCCATAAACCTGATCTCAAAAATTGGAAACAAAAATGTATCCACATGATGTAGACTTTTAAAGGGCATTTGACAAAGTACTATATAAAACACTCCTTCACAGCTGTAGTCATTGTGTTTCAAGGGCAAGACATGGACATGGATTCAGAATTGACGAGAGTCTTTGTTAAGGAAGCTGGTCAAATTGGGGGGGAAGGGATGGGTATTAAACAACAACAACTTGTATTTTTATAATGCCCTTCACATGGGGTAGCTTCCCGGAGCGCTAAATGGGCTAGCTCAATTATCTGTATGCGATGCCTCCTGTTCCTTGTACATATTAATTACCTGGACTCTCAGGTCCAGGCTAAAATAGTTAAATTTGCAGTCACCTCCAGGTTGGGGGACATGTGGAATTAAGAGACAGCAAAAGCCTTGCAAAGAGAGCTTGATAGGGTAACTGGCAAATGAAGTTCAATACCGATAAATGCAAGGTACTACATACAGGAAGCAAGAATAGGAAACACATGTACTCCATGCATAGGTCAGAACTTGTCAAGAAGTAAGCGGGAAGAGATTCTAACAGTGTCAGATGACTCATTATTCATTCTGTCAAAACAGTGTGAGACAGCAATAAACGAGACAAACAGAACGCTAGGCTAAATCACACGAGTTCACATCACCGAATGTCATACCCAAGATTTATAGTGCTCTGGTCTAGAGTGCTCCTTAAAATTCTGGTTGCGGAGACAGTGGGGGCAAACCCTAAAGGGAATGCAGAGGAGTTCATTTTCTAGTTCAAGATTTGATCCATCACCAACATTTTCGAGTTCAAGATTTGAATCTGGAGAGCAATGAGGATTCTAGATAGGATAAATAGGCTGGTGAGCAATATTCCCTCAAGTTATACAGTTTATAAGCATAGAGTATCTAAAGAGACATGAGGGATTTGAGAATCACAAATAATCATTTTAAAGGAGCTAATAAACTCTGGACAAGTTTGAACTAACCAGAAGAATAGCAATTATAATTCTAGTATTCAAGAAGGGCAAAAGAGCCATAACCCATTGGACGGACCTCAGTGATCAAAAAACAATCAGAAGTAACTTTAAGAGTATGAAAATGACCCAACTGACAGTAACAGTGCTTCAGAAGGGCTAGATCCTGCCTAGCCAACTTTCATAAAAAAATAGGATTCCTACACAAATTAACGTCATTGGACATCAAGGGTAAAATACAGATTAGTAATTGGTAAAAGGAATAGAACAGAGGGGGCCTAAGGAGGCCATGCTGATTTTCCTCAGTTGTAGATTCAATGCAAGGCAGTTAAATTTGCAGAGGCACCAAGCTTCATACAAAAATATTATGAAGAATCGTCAACCGGTATTCACTTGGGATCAGCAAAAGAAGCAAGAGACAATGCAAGGAACTACTTATTGGAGAGAAAAAATAAAAAGCATGTGTACTTTTGGCACTAAATTTGCCAAGTGAGAATTTGAAAAACATTTCAGGGTATTAGTTGGTAATTGGTAACCATACCAACAACAACAAATTGCATTTCTATATACACCAGTGTGCGGCGGTAATAAGAACACACACAATTCTGAGCTACATTGCTAACATCAATTGAATTACATTCCCAGAGGTGCAGCCAGACAAGAACAGTGTTCCTGTCTGGCGGCACCTGGAGTAATGCAAACAGTTCAGAGCAATGCATCAAGATGGCTGTGTTGAATCTAGACAGTGCAGAAAGAGAGCAACCAGGCTGATCTCCATTGAAGATGGATAAGCTGTGAAGAACTACATCAGCTTGGACCCTTCAGCCTTCAAAGACATCTCAGCATCTCAGAGAGCATTTATCAAAGCTAATTAATGAGATAGAGAGTAAGCTTTCCTTCAATAGCACTTTGATACATGGTCAGTCAGCAGAGCAAATGGGTGCAAGCTGTTCACAGGTGCAGGTGGAAAAGGCAAGTTTAGGACAGACATCTGGAAGTATTTCTTTCCACAGTGGTGATCAACAGGTAGAATGGGTTTCCAGGAAGGGTTCACTTAAAAAAAATGTATGTCGCAATGAGAAGATGGTAGGCAGACTGGGGACAAGGATTTGTTAAGCCAAAGCCTTAACAAGTCGGGTGGTTTGTTGCTAGCTTGCACTTATTGCTCTCCAGAACTAAGTAATCTGGGTGCATTTCTCCAAAGAGAAACGGAAAAAGTATCAAATCCATTCCAGTCACATACATTTCCACGCATAGATGGCATACATATGTGGAACTCTGGATGATTAGGACACTCTTAAAGCATGTTGATGTATCAGACACATGGCAGACCAAACAAAATCTACTGGCCTTATATCTTTTAACCCATAGTCGCAGCACAGATATTTAGCGCAGAGTTGGATTTCACTTTAAACAGCAAAATTACATTTATAAAGCGCCTTTCACATCAGGAGGATGTCCCAAGGTTCTTTAAAATAGCATATGTTTCTATTTGTAATTGGGTATTTAAAAAAAGTATTTCAATAAGAAAGCAATATTTTTAAATTAGCTTTTTAAGAGAGATTTACTTAGTTGTTTGAACATTTTCAGTATAACATATTAGACTGCAGTTTTCA